TCTTTTTTCAAGGGGGCAAAAAAACTGAATACCATCACTGTTGTTATCTGTTTGTGGCAAACATTCTCAAGTCAGTTGTATCTATCTGCGATGTATTGGCACCTATTTTAACAATTTTGGCTACATTTGATTGATTTGGACATGTCAGACACCAGTGGCATATGAATCCAGTGAGTTCAACACAATCTTTTCAATCCCGGTCATAATGCATCACAATCCCAAATCTTCGGTTTAGCTCAAGACAATAAAACTTAGCATGAACTGAGTGAGATACAGATAGACATGACACAAATATATGGTTACAGAAAATTTCACCCAAAAAAAGCCTTATCTCTATCAGGTCCTTTCTTTTTCAAAATCTTCAATTCTTCCTTACATTGTGGAACATCACCCCCAGTTATCTCGCTGGAATTACAAAATGATCTCACTAAATAAAAAAGTCATGCCTAGTAGAGGTGGAAGGTGCTCTGGTGAGATCCTCATGGACAGAAAAAAGATTGCAATCTGTATGATAATAATCAAGTGACTTCACTTCTTCAGTCCGAACAAGAGAAATCTATTACACAAAATGGATCTCTTCTATTTTTAGTCAGATTTTCCATGCAGAACATCAAACGGATTAAAAGGGGGAAGTGACCCTTGACACACAACAAATGAGGACTTATATATCACTTAGTTTAGGCTCCTAGTCCTAGAATATGGTCCCTTGGGCAAATATACAACAAACATCATTCCCAAATAACATTTTATTATTATGAATAACTCGTATATAGACATAAGTGAAAATAAAGACTCAAACAAAGTATTGAATAGTTTTGCTTACATGAAAGTAAATACATTAACCTGAATGCATAAAAAAGATCACATCCAACTTTTGAAGGTAAAATTAATGCCTCAGAATTTTGCAACCAATCTGACCCTCATTATTTATCAAGTGTGTAATAAACTCCAGAAGTTTGTCCAAAGCGCATGCTAAAAAATTATGTGATTGCATGAGTTATAACACTATGCCATGCATAAATAGTACAAGATCATTTATTAACTATTGCTTCCCGGTGTGAGCCAAAAAACTTGGCAGAATACTCTTCATCATCTTTCTATATAAAAGAACTAACCTCCAAAGGTTGCTTCATTTCCTTTGTGATATTCTTTTATAATACTAATAATTTCGACGTACCAACATTCTTAAATGCTTCATGTTAGCTTCTTGGATCCTCCAAATTCCTGAACTCTTTTTAGTTCCATTATCCACAACGTTGTTCCCACAGTAATTCCTCCATCAAGGTTCTTCTAGCATAGCTCACTGATAATAATCATTAGAGATTTAAGAGAAGCATATAATTATTCCTTGATCTAAAGGTCACGATAAATTTAGCTTTCTACCTAAAGCAATAGCATGATTTCTTAGTTATTACCCTCCTAGACTAACTAATGGATCCCATTCTGGCATTTGTTTAACGCAGCCTATCAAACAAAAACAGTTTAGCTGACTGAAGAAGAAAGAAAGCCCAACAAACAGATTAGAGAGGTTATTCAAAAAACTATCAATCTTCTTTTTTTTTTTTATTACTAGGGAACCTTGGACTGTTAGCAGGTTACCTAGGGGGAACCCCGCGTTCAAGAAACTCACATGGAGCACCTCAGGCAAGGGGACTTTGCCTTAATACCAGGGGCCCATTCCCAGAATGGCCTGGGCATCTTATGCGGCCTAGTGCCGCCCATAACTGGAATTCCCTTTCCCAGCACAAGACAATCCAAGTAAACCCCGGGCCTTGGTAACCACCCTCCCTACCAAGGCCAGGGTGAAATTGGGGGACTTCGAACTCAGGACCGCGGGGCATAAGACCCCTAAGGATTCCCTTCAAAGGCCAGTCCACTGAGCCCACCCTCGGGTGGTATCAATGTTCAATTTACCTATTTCAGAAACATTTTGTGGAACACATTTCAAGCTAGCTGTTTTAGTCACTTCTGCCTCTGACGAAGTATGGAGAGCTATATTTACAAATATGGTAAGATACTAGTCAAGGAAATATTCATGAACCACTGAACCTAAGACATTCAGGAATCACATCATTAAGAACACCCACATTTTCTGAATCTTCCGTCTAATGCAACATGCACCAAAATAATAAAATCAAGCTAAGGGATAACATTAAATGCCCAAAAATTAAGAGCAAGGATTAAACATGTGAGCTAACACCATGCAAATTAACAATTGTACTTAATACTAAGTAAACCATTATGTAGATGCAGGTTTAACCATCATATGGCAACAGCAGAATAAAATTATTTTCTAAATGGTTGCATTTTACAGTAAGTAACACCTGAATATTCTGTATATTAAGTTGCATTCAATATTACTAATGAAAGCACGTTAACTGACAGTACCACATAAAAGAAACCAGCCCCTTTGCAAGCCTCGTCCAACTGTCTCACAACTTTAAGTACCCCTTCATCTTCGGCCATCTTGGGATCATTAAATTTCTCTAGAAGAGGACTGACATCTGAGGGGCGAGAGATTTATTAGTAATAAGCGGAAGTGTATTAGAACCTGACTTTAATATAATAGTATGCAAAAGCATAAGCATATATATATGAAATCCAAATTCTTCTGTGTGCATAATATAGTCATATATAAATAAATAAATAAGAAAGGAAAATTGATTCCATCTCCTGCACATTTTCAATCATGTGTTGTCACTCAAATTGACTAGTCAAAATTTAAAAAAGCCCTAATTCTATAATCTATCGTATTTAAGAACTACTTTTT